ACGCCGCTATTCCACAGGCTTCGCTCATTCCTCTGAACAGCGGCCGAGCTCGCGTGCTCTGGCGGCACGGACAGACCACGCGACTCTCTTGCGGGACTCGGCGAAGTGTTAGAAACAATCACACGTGATTCCGCATATAGACCTCGGAGATGGCGGCAGAAGGGGCTGCGCATTTGCCTCTACCGGACTCCGAGCCTCTGGTATTTGCTTTTTGCGCACCCGACATCGTCATGCGGCAGGAGCACGTAGATTTTCTGAACTGCGTCTGTAGTTCTATACGGAATTTATGCAGCATAGTCGACGTATGCTCCGACCTTTTCTCTTTTTTTTAGTTGATTAAATTTGTTTCGAAAAAGCTGTGGAAGCTACACTTTGCGGTTTGTGCAAGTGAGTTACATGGCTAAGGCAGTGGCGGTCTCAGACATTGGGTTTAGGGAGGGGGGGGGGGGGGGGAGGGGGGGGGGGGGCGAAATTGCTGCTTAAATAACAAAAAAAGAGACATCACACTTTTTTATGAATGAAGATTTTTTTTTTATTAGTCCCACTGTTTGCAAGTCGGAAATGCGCAACATGTAAACCTTTGCTCGCAATATAGCTTTAGCGCTGAATACATTCGACGCGTGCACAATCGTACAACATTACATATACTTTTTTTTATTTATTCACAAATGTTACTTACTACCTTCCATTGAAAGGTGTCGTAGGACTGGGGGTTTATATAACAAATATAAAAAGTGCAGTGAAAGGTTTCTAATGAAAATGAGCAATAATTGAAGTAATGAAGTAATTTTCAAAACCTCATTCACACTTGGCAAACTGTGCACGTCATGAGAAGAAACTAAGTCAGTGAACGATTCAGAATAATGCAAAAGGAGAAACTTGTCAAGCAAAATATCGACAGTTGGAAAGACCACGCACGATCAAAGAACCTTATTTACGCTTCACATGTGTATTCAATAATCAAAATAGTAAAACATGGTGCAAAAGCTGGCACCAAAGACACAAAATATACAATAACAAACAAATCAAAATCACTGCGGTGACAGTGTAGCAAATACCAGTTTTCAAACACAAAAATCAGATTTCTGCGACATTGGTTATTGATAACAATTGGAACAGCAAGTTTACTAGAACAGTGAGAAAAACGAAGTCTATATGACTGCCGATGCGACACAACGCCATAAGGCAATTTTTCCCCTTTGAATCTTAACAGTTTTCAAAAAAGTGAAAATTCAAAGCAGACGGTGTAACACATTCTCCTCCTCGCCGATTGTGGGATGACCAAAAATTTGAATGAGCGATTTTAAAGTCATCACACACTTCAGAGAAGGAAGTCGGTCCTTCGCTTCCGCGCGCTTGCAAAGCGGTCTGTAACACGTGACGTGTCAACGGGAATATCCCGATGGATGTTCAAAAGTGCTAGCCACGTTAGACGCTCCTCGGTCATCTTGGCCCGCAGCCACGTTTTCAAGCGACGGAGCGTTGAAAACGTGCGCTCCGCCGAGGCGACGCTGACTGGAAGTGAGGCCAGAATCTGCAGCAATGTCGCACATTCGGATACAGATCTCCATCGCAAGCGTCGGGGGACTCGATGGCTGTTGATGGAGCTGAGTTGTCACCATTTTGTCGCAGCCATTTTGCCTTCCACATTATTAGTTCATACCCAAGAGTTTTCGCCATATGAGTTCGGTTGTTAGAATCTAGAATGCGATGATACCGATCTGTCAGTCTCTCTACTCGTGCATCGTTGGGTTCGATCACGTCTGTTACGAGAGTGCGGGGTACGCATACGTTCAAGTCGTAAACAGAAAGGGTTTCCTCAGGAAAACGCGAAGAGAGGTCTTTGATAATCGATTCCAAAATCGGAATGAAAACTCTTTGCCGGTACAATGTCTCAAGGTCCTCCACCTGTGGGTCCTGGCTGCGCATCTGTTTGGCTGCTGTCCGGGGAACAGACCGTTCCACACCTAACTCGTTTGCAGTAGCCCTAACTTCTGCGAACAACTGGCTGAACTCAGCGTCACAGTTCTGTCTTTTAGACTTCAGTTGGAAGAGAGTGTCGTGTAAGAGCTCAACCGCAGTTTTCACATCCAGGGTTTCTTTCTGGAAAAGCCTACTCAAGGGTTGTGTGAGGGCAAAAATATCACTCATTGAGACCAACACAACCAGGAAGTTGCTAGTCCGAAGTCCTGCAATCAAAGTGCTTGCCTTAGCTGCTGATGGCGTCTGGTTCTTCCAGTTCGCCACAATTTCCAGTGCCTCAAGAATATCCGCTAAGGACGACCTGAATTCTAGAACGGCACTGTGGCGCTCTACCCAGTGGGTTTCGCAAAGTCCCTGAAGTTGCTCTTTTAGTACGCGCCGAAGCACCGCGTATCGTTTCTGAAACGTCGACCAGACTCGCCGGTAGCCGGGACATGAAAACGTGGTTTATTGGCAAGCGCTCTCTTTTTACCTCCCGCGCCGGTGACGTATGTCCGGCACGGGCATGCGCTGGAACGCGCCGCTCCTGGCTGCGGTGACGCAGCCGTACGGCGATACAGCATCCCCTCCCCCCTATAAGTTCAAACGGTCCGGCGGCTTCCGCAGGCGCGTAGAGCGCCTGAGAGGAACCGGGTCTGCTGTGGGCGTCACTTCGGGATCGCCGTTGGTGGCGACCTCTCTTTCGTCGGTGCTGGGCGGCCTTGCTCCCACCTCCGACCGGCCGGCGACTCGACGTGCCTTGTCAGCGCCTTCCGGGGACCCTGAAGCGTCTCGAGGTCGCAGCTGGTCCAGGTGCCATCTCTGTTGGCCGTCCGGTGTGCGTAGCGTGACCATGCGCCGACCCTCACTGGAGACCACAGTCCCCGGTAGCCATCTCCGCCTCGGCTGGAACTGGCGTGACCAGACCGGCATTCCTGGCGAAAATGGCGGTGGTGTCGTGGCCGGGGCTTGCGGCTCGACCACGCTGTGCTACGCTTCTTCGCCCCTCGGGAAGAAGCCGGTTAGCCTTGTCCTGGGCCTGAAGCCTAACAACAACTCGGCTGGCGACTTGCCCTCTTTCATAGGGGTAGATCTGTAACGACACAAGAACCTGGAAATACGATCTTGCAACGAGCCTTCCCTGTTCTTCTTTAGCCCCTCCTTGATCGTGCGTACTGCCCGTTCGGCTAACCCGTTCGACTGAGGGTGGTAGGGCGCAGTGGTGAAATGACGTATATGGTTCCCTTGTAAAAATCGTGCCATCGCTGCACTTGAAAATTGCGGCCCATTATCGGAAACCACTGTTCGTGGCACTCCGAAACGCGCCAACAGTTCTCGGAGCACTCCAATTGTAGTCTCGGCCGAAGCTGTTTTGAGTGGTATGGCTTCAATCCACTTTGTTTCCGAGTCCACTAGTACTAGAACCATGTACCCTTCCAGTGGCCCCGCGAAATCCAAGTGCAAACGGGACCACCGTTGGTGGGTCTCCGGCCACTTGGAAGGAACCTGTGCCGCGGGCATCGTCCAACACTGTATACATGTCGAGCAGTTATTTACCAGCTTTTCGATATCTTTGTCTAGACCAGGATACCAATAGAGGGAGCGAGCCAGACGCTTCATCGCAGTCATTCCCGGGTGGGTATCATGCAGTTCCGTCAGCATGAACGCTCGCGCAGCTTCCGGTAGAACTACGCGATGCCCCCAGTAAACCAGGTCGTGGCTCACTGTGAGTTCATACCTGCGGCTGAAGTACGGTAGGAACTGGTGCTGCTCCGGGCACAGGTGCGACGGCCATCCGGCGTAAATCCAGGCTTTTACTTGGCGAAGCAGGCTGTCCCGCGTAGTCAGGGTGGCCATCTGCTGGGCGGACATAGGTTGGTCGTCCCACCCCCGCGTGTACAGCACATATTCAGAGAGCACTTCACTGCTGCCCTCCTCCTGCGCCGGCAACGGGAGACGACTAAGAGCGTCTGCATTCCCATTGTGGTCTCCTTTTCGGTACTCGAGATCGTACCAGGGTGGAACAGCGCTGTCAGCGGCTTGTGGTCTGTGACGAGCGTAAAGCGGTTGCCGAACAGATAATCTCGAAACTTGGTAACTCCAAAAACCAGCGCCAACGCCTCCTTCTCGAGCTGGGAATAATTACGCTCTGCCTTCGTCAGCGTTCTCGACCGGAACGCTATGGGGTAGTCTTTCCCATGCATGCGATGTGACAACACTGCACCCAAGCCGTCTGGCGACGCGTCGCATTCTAGCCGTAACTGTTGCCGGGGGTTGTAGTGAACCAGGAACTTAGCTTCGGCCATAGCCTGCTTAGTCTTCCGGAAAGCCCTTTCCTGATCCCCGTCCCACTGCCATTGCGCTCCTTTTGCCAATAATCTATAGAAAGGGGCCAAGGTGGTTGACAAGTTGGGCAAAGATTTGGCGTAATAGGTGACAAACCCCAGAAAAGACTTGAGCTGGCTTACCGAGGTCGGTCTTGGAGCTTCGGTCACTGCCTCGAGGTTGGTCCGCTCCGGATGAAGACCTTGGGCATCGATTCTGTGGCCCAAAAAGGGCACTTGCTTCTCCCGGATACGGCACTTGGCTCGGTTTAACCTCAGGCCGTTTTCCCGTAGCCGCTGCAGCACCTGCCGGAGTGTCGACGTGTCGTGTTTCTTTTCTGCGATGACGATGTCATCCAAGTAGACTTGCACCCTTGGGAGCCCTTGCAGGAGGGACTCAATGCGCCGTTGAAACAGAGCCGGTGCGGACGAAATGCCGAAGGCCAGACGATTGTAACAGTACAATCCTTGGTGCGTGTTCAGCACAGTCATCTTTCGAGCCTCTTCGTCAAGAGGAAGCTGATTGTACGCGTTGCGTAAGTCCAGCGTGGTGAAGAGTTCCCCCCCATATAACGCCGCAACAATGTCGTCAATTTTAGGCAAGGGGTATCGCTCCAGGTGTGTAGCTGGATTTACCGTCAACTTAAAATCCCCGCACAGTCGTATCTCGCCGTTTTTCTTTGCCACCGGAACAACAGGTGTAGCCCGTTCCGACACGCTGACCGGCGAGAGCACGCCGTCCTTCTCCAGGCGGTTGATTTCCGCCGACACCTTGTCGCGAAGCGCGTAGGGCACCGGCCTCGCCTTACAAAAACGGGGTCGCGCATCTTCCTTCCTGTACAGCTTTACTGGTGGGCCCTGGCAGCACCCCAGCTTCTCTTCGAAAACGTCTGCAAATTCTTCCAGTAGGTCCTGCCCCTCTGCGCCGGCCTGCACCATGTTCACCCCAAGCGGTGCCCCAGTTTCTAGAAGCGGTGCCCCTGCGTCGTAAAACGCCCGCAGCGTATTCCTACCGCAAAGCAGCGGCCCTGGGCAGTTCACCACAATCAACGAGCTGCGCACCTGCGTCTGTCCGTACTGTACACTCATGGTGATCTTGCCGACAACGGGCAGCGGCCCCAGGAAGCACGACAAGCGTAGGGGGGTCGTTTCCAGGGCCGGCCACCGTTTACGGTGTCTTTTGAAAGCGCTCTCGGGAATTACGCTGACTGGGGAGCCCGTATCCAGAATCATTCGCAGCTTCCTGCCTTCCCATAGCAAATCCCGCTCTATCGGCGGCGTCGTGTCTTTGTTGGCTGTACTGTGAGCCACCAGGGCGTGAAGCATTTCCTCGCCACTCTCTTCCTCGGTGATGATGTCCGCCAGCGCGTACGCACCTGGCTGGCTGGGCCGACTGTACTTGCACACCCTCGCCAGATGTCCCTTGGTGCCGCACCTGTGGCATATGGTCTTGCGGTGCCGGCAGTCGTCCTCGGAGTGGTTCGCGTCGCACCTCCAGCACCAGGCGCGTCGATTCGCACCGCTGGTTTCTTGTCTTGGGGGCCTCCGGTTTTCTTGTCTTGGGGGCCTCCGCCGACCTTGGACGAAATGCGTACCGCCGGCTGAGTCCTGGGGGGCCGTTCCCATTGCCCTGACGTTGTTATCGGCCATCTCAGACGCGATTACGAATTCCTCCGCCTCTTCCCGGCTCAACTTTTTACGCGTCAGCAAAACCCGTCGCGCTTCGTCATCCCGTATGCCGCAGACGATTCGGTCTCGCAGCATCCGGTCCAGGGTGTCGCCGAACTTGCAATGCTTCGCGAGCCGCCGCAACTCTGCCACGAAGTCTTGTACTTTCTCCCCCTCTTCCTGTTTCCGCACGAAGAACGAGTAGCTAGCTGCAATCTCGTTGGCTTGCGGGTCGTAGTGTTCTTCTAGGTAGCCAACCACGTCTGCGTAGGACAGGCTGTTGATGGACGCCGATTGACAGCGGCCTTGCAGAATTCGGACCACGTTGTCACTTAGGGAAGACACCAGCAACGCGCGACGTTTCGCCGCGTCCGTGATACCGTGACCCTCGAAGTACGCCTCCAACCGGACCCGGTATGTGCCCCAGGTGCCTGCCGTCTCGTCGAACTGCGGCGGGCGTGCCGCCATATCGGTTTACCCTCGTCGCCACTGAAACGTCGACCAGACTCGCCGGTGGCCGGGACATGAAAACGTGGTTTATTGGCAAGCGCTCTCTTTTTACCTCCCGCGCCGGTGACGTATGTCCGGCACGGGCATGCGCTGGAACGCGCCGCTCCTGGCTGCGGTGACGCAGCCGTACGGCGATACAGCAGTTTCGACGACGACGTGAAGAAAGACACAGTTGCCGTAATGATACCCATAAAGTTGCGGACACTTTGAACGGAAGAGGACTTTGTGAGGGACAGATTCAGGGCGTGGCTGAAACATGGACAACGGACGGCGTTCACGGCTTCTTTCTTAATCTCGTGAATTGCGCCGCAAGTTTCAGAAATCATTAGACTACATCCATCTGTTCCGATGCCGACACAGTTGGTTGGAAGCAAATCCATTGACTTGATTTCTTTTTTGACAATTTTTCCCAAGACTTCTCCTGTCAGCGACGGCTCGTAGGCCGGGCTGCGGCCTTCGTCGTCGTTTTGCGAATCGCCCGCAAAGATGGACGTGTGGCAATCTACAAATTTTGCGAAGTCTTCTCTTATCGCGTGAGTTCCATCTTGAGATTTTTTGGACATAGCGAAAAACAAGGCTCATTTGGGACATAATTGAGATGTCGGTAGTTTCATCGAAAATAATGCTGTAGTACTCAGCGCGCATCAAGTTTTTTTTGGATCTGCGCGAGAACTTCATCTCCACAACATCCAATCAACTCGTTTTGAGTGCGGCTGCTAATATAAGTAGCCCTCGATGACGATGTCTTAAGGTGGTTCTGCAATGCCTTGTTTCCGGATTGAACTAAAAAACGCAGCAGTTCCCGAAAGTTTCCCTGGTTAACAGGGCTAGATGCTTCGTCGTGTTCATGCAGTGAAAGTGCACCAAACTCTCTGTGTCCACGCACTGGTATATTCTGCCTGCCGATGAAGACGATGCAGTCGATAATGCGGCCTATACGGCCACGGTTTTCAGCAATCTTCTCCAGTCTTTTAGTCTCTAGTTGATTAGCTACGTCTTTTGTCGGAGAGTTGTGGCATGCAAGAAATGCCTTTACGGCTTCGACGGCGTCGCGGTGGTATTTGTTGCTGTTATGCAGCTCCAAAGCCCCATCTTTTCCGAGCAACTTCGCGAAAAAAGTGAGTGGTCGTGTAACCAGGTTATTGAGAGGCACGTTGCGCTGATACCCTCCGACACTTCCGACCACAAAGAATGGGCAATACTTGCAGAAAAGTCCCCTCTTCGCGTCAGAGACAACCAGCCAAGGATATTTGGACAAATGCTCTTCCCTTACAAAACGATTCTCGACTTTTCCTTTCTTTTTATGCTGCGACGAGGGGTAAGCATAGCCCTTTGGCGCTTGCCAGTGGTTCTCCAATAACTGGGAAAGCGTAAAGTCGTCTGGCCTACCTTTACCAGCAAAATTCCCTACGTCGAAAGTGTTCACGCGAGTAGTCGGCTCACTTACTTCCTTGATTTGCCCGGGTGAGTCCGACAGAGGGGAGGTGTCTTCTTGCAGACAGCTGACAGATCCGGTCGCCGGAAGGGCACATAGAGGTGAGGCTGCGGCGGAGGGCAGGCACGAGGAGTCGCTTGCGGCGCCTTTGCACAGGGTCGATGAGAAAACATGGGGCGCCACCAGCGAAGTCGCCGGAGCTAGATCCTTTTTGTCCAAGGGCATGAATAGAGGCTCGATTCTTGAACGCTTGCTTCCTTGAGCAGATGAATCGTCCGCCTGTAAAAATTAACATGTGCTTTTCAGTTGCACTTTCCGTTTGCAACGCGCAGTTGAGTGCAGTAAGATTCATCTTAGTCATGCATATTCATGCAGTTCTTCGTATTACTTACTGATTTGATTCCGCTCGATGAGTGGCGCAGCTCGGAGGAATTCTCTTGTGAAAAGCTGGTAGCACGGGCAGACGAAAAGTTCAACGACCATGAGGATACGCAGGGCAAGAGCAGGCCACTTGTCGAAGAGGAATCAGACGCTGTTGGCGAAGCGTCCGCGCTAGATGTTGAGCTTTCTTTCCTCAGTGGTAGGAAGAAAGAGTCGATTCTGGAACGCTTGCCCCTTTGGCCAGACGAATCGGCCGCCTGAAAATATACATTGTACAGTTCTTAAATGCATATTGTTACTTAGAATAATCCAAATTTGCAGATGAATGAACCGTACTGATCAAATGAAATAAGAAACTTCAGAATAGCAAATAAATAAATGCAGTCGCTTGCAAAACATGTCGTCCTTATTTTTAAAAACAAAGAAAATATTACTTACCATTATTATTCAGAGCCGGTCCAGATGCAATAGACGCCGTCCACCCGTTCTGTGCTCTTTCTTGAACTACCTTGGTTTGGAACCGAGCGGATGCGCGGGAGCCCCAGAAGAAGGGAGGGACACGTAACAGTGGCGCCATCTATGTACTGTGTACAGAACTAGCGAAAAATTTAAATAATACAGTTGGCGGCTAACGGCCAAAGGTGTATTTACACCATATTCATTTTGGCGAAATTAGATTTCAGAGAGCACACACGCTCCAGTGAGTCTGCTCTTTTTAAAGGGGTCCCCTTCCCTACGTCCCTATGTGAAGACATCGTCCCAGCTCACAGATCCTCCAATCAAGACTGACTGTGCTCTCTTTTTGCTTGGCTGTAAAATAAAAAAAATTATAAAAAGCGATCGATTGGGGGGGGGGGGCGGTCGCCCCCTTCGCCCCCCCCCCTTAGGACCGCCACTGGGCTAAGGGGGGGGGGGGCGGTCGCCCCCTTCGCCCCCCCCCCTTAGGACCGCCACTGGGCTAAGGGGACATAGCATAGGGAAGTAATCGTAACGATCAGTCGGCTAATTAAGTAAAATATGTTAGTTAATTTATAGTTTTCCATAATGCTTAGCAAGTTGCTAATTGGAACCAGGTCTATTTTTACTAAATAAAAAGTTAATTAACAATTTATATTTAATAAGCCGTATGATCGTTACGACGAGTCCCCTAGAATATGTCCCCCTGGCCGTATAACGCACCTGCGCAAACCGCATGAGTGTACCTTTTACGGCTCTTTAAAACAAATCTGTAAAGCTTAAGAAAAGAAAAAAGAAAAAAGAACACCCTGTATAGGAATTTTGCACGGGCCTTGCTTCCGCCTGCCAGTGCTGGTCGCACCGCAGCCATGGGAGAGGGTGTCAGGAAGGGAGCGCAGCCTTTGGATTGACGTCTTAGCGCGTCCCACGAATGGCTTTACACCGCGAAGGGGGCGGGGGGGGGGGGGGGGGGGGCGGCTTAGTGGCGCGCAAACACCATTGTTGGCGGTGACGCGTTACGAGTAACTGCGTTACGGGAAACGTAGTGACGTAGTCTTTACATTTTCAAAGCAGTCACGAATAACATACTTACGTCAACTATTTCGGTTAGCAGCGAACGTTATTACGTTACTCGTCACACCTTATTTCCAAGACTTCAAAAATTTTAATTTCATATTGTTTCGTGTTTTTAAGCGCAAAGTCCTTTCAATTCTTGCCCTCATCCCAGGTAACTTTCAAATCGTGACAAATATTGATGGTAGTACGCGTCCTGACGTTTTACGTCGGGACAGTAAAAAGCTTTAATTAATGAATTAAAAGTAACCTGTATTACTTTCTATCACAAAGGATAACGCGTGCTCCTTTTATTTTTAAGTAACATAGGTCTGTAAGGCGTTCCTTTTATTTGCCACTATCGAATAACAAATTTATTACTTTTCTTCTTCTTGTTTTTAACGCTTACAACATTGGTTAACGTTCTCCATCTCTTCACTGCGTAGTAGGCTACTAACTGCGGGATCAGTAGAATAACCTAGCAGGCGCGGAGGCGTATCAAGTGCTGCTCGTTAAAAATTAAAATCTCCATCAAGTGCCGTCCCTTTTCATTGTATTTGACGGACTTTCTAAGCCAGGCGATATTTTTCTTCGCAGCTGCCTCCGGACCTGGGTGGACTGCAGCAGATACTGTTCGATGTCCCAACGACGAGTCCCAGCGCGTCCAACCCTGTGGCTGGGGTGGGAGAAGCGTACCGCAGGCAACGCCACGTGGTCTTTGGATTGGCTGTCTTCGTGGTCATCACCGTCGGATTCCTGGTGGCCGGTTTAGTTCTTCGCCGGATCCGCACGGATCATCTGTGCGTTACCAACGCCTGTGCTGTCTACAGTGAGATGCT